AGACAGCAAGAAGTAGTCAAACTCAGGGCTGAGATCAACCAGTTAGAAACAAAGAGAATGATACAAAGAATCAGCAAAACCAATAGCTGGTTGAGAAAATCAACAATATAGATAAACCATTAGCCAGACTAACTAAAGGGCAGAGAGACAGTATCTAAATTAACAATATCAGAAATGAAAAGAGAGACATAACAACAGAGAAAATTCAAAAAACCATCAGATCTTACTACAAAAGCCTATGCTCAACAAAACTGGAAAATCAAGATGAAATGGATGGTTTTCTAGACAGATACCATATACCAAAGTTAAATCAAGATCAGGTAAACTGTCTAAACAGTCCTATAATCCCAAAGGAAATAGAAATAATCATTAAAAACGTCCCTACCAAAAAAAAAAAAAGCCTAAAGACAGATGGTTTTAGTACAGAATTCTACCAGACCTTCAAAGAAGAGCTAATACCAATAACCCTCAAATTATTCCACAAAATAGAAACAGAAGAAACACTACCTAATTCGTTCTATGAAGCCACAATTACTCTGATACCTAGACCCAATAAAAAAAATAGAACTTTAAGCCAATTTCATTGATGAATATTGATGCGAAAATACTCAAAATTCTTGCAAATGGAATCCAAGAACATATCAAAAACCATCTTTCACAACTATCAAGTAGACTTCATCCCAGGGATGCAGGGGTAGTTCAAATATATGAAAATCCATCAACATAATATGCTATATAAACAAACTCAAGGAAAAAAACACATGATCATTTCATTAGATGCTGAAAAAGCCTTCCACAAAAAATATAACACCCCTTCATGTTAAACGTCTTAGAGAGATCAGGAATTCATGGCATATACCTAAACATAATAAAAGCAATATATAGCAAACCAACAGCAAACATCAGATGAAGAAAAACTAGAAGCAATCCCACTAAAATCAGGGACAAGGCAAGGTTGCCCACTCTGTCCCTATCTATTCAACTTCAAAGTACTTGAAGTTCTAGCTAGAGCAGTTAGACAACAAAAGGAAAGCAAGAGGATACAAATTGGAAAAGAAGAAGTCAAAGTATCACTATTTGCAGATGATATGATAGCATACATAAGCAATCCAAAAAAATTCCACCAGAGAACTACTACAGCTGGTAAACAACTTCAGCAAAGTGGCAGGATATAAAATTAACTCAAACAAATCAGTAGCCTTCCTTTTTACAAATGATAAGCAGGCTGAGAAAGAAATTAGGGAAACAACACCCTTCACAATAGCCGCAAATAAAATATCTTGGTGTAACTCTTACCAAGCAAGTGAAAAATCTGTATGACAAGAACTTCAAATCCCTGAAGAAAGAAATTAAAGAAGACATTAGAAGATGGAAAGATCTTCCATGCATATAGACTGGTAGAATCAACATCATGAAAATGGTCATCTTACCAAACGCAATGTACAGATTCAATGCCATCCCCATCACAATTCTAACACGGTTCTTTAGACATGGGAAGAGCAATTCTCAACTTCATATGGAAAAACAAAAAATCCAGGATAGCCAAGATAATCCTCAGCAATAAAAAAAACTTCTAGGGGAATCACCATCCCCGACCTCAAGCTGTACTACAGAGCAGTAGTGATAAAAACTGCACGTAGTGTTACAGAGACAGACAGGTCGGTCAAAGGAATAGAATCAAAGTCTCAGAAGTAAACACACACACACACACACGGACACTTGATCTTTGACAATGAAGCCAAAAACACATAATGGGAAAAAGAAAGCGTCTTTAATAAGTGGTGCTGCTCTAACTGGCTGCCTGTGTGTAGAATAAAAATAGATCCATATTTATCACCTTGCACAAAGCTCAAGTCCAAGTAGATCAAGGACCTCAACATAAAACCAGATATACACTAAATCTATTGAAGAAAAAGTGAAAAAGAGCCTTGAACTCATTGGCACAGGGGAAATTTTCTAAACAGAACTCCAATGGCTCAGGTTCTAAGAACAACAATTGATAAATAGAACCTCTTGAAACTGAAAGGCTTCTGTAAGGCAAAAGACACCATCAATAGGACAAATTGGCAACCTACAGATTGGGGAAAAATCTTCTCTAACCCTACATCCAATAGAGGGCTAATATCCAAAATATATAAAGAACTCAAAAAGTTACTTCCAAAAAAACCAAATAACCTTATTTAAAACTGGGGTGCAGAGCTAAACAGATAAATCACAACAGAAGAATCTTGAATGGTTGAAAAGCACTTAAAGAAATGTTCAATTCCTTAGTCATCAGGGAAATAAAAACCAAAACAACCCTGAGATTCCACCTCACACCAGTAGGAATGGCTAAGATAAAAAATTAAAGTGACAGCCTATGCTGGTAAGGATGTAGAGAAAGAGGAACATTCCTCCATTGCTGATAGGAATACAAACTGGTATACTCACTCTGGAAATCAGTCTGGCAGTTCCTCAGAAAATTGGAAATAGTTCTACCTAAAGACCCAGCTAAACCACTCTTGGCCATATACCCAAAAGATGCCCCACCATACCACAGGGACACATGTTTCACTATGTTCATAGTGGCATTATTTGTGATAGTCAGAAGCTGGAAACAACCCAGATGTCTCTCAACCAAAGAATGGATTTAAAAAAAAAAAGTGATTCATTTACACAATGAAATACTATTCAGCTATTTAAACCAAGGACATCATGAATTTTACAGGCAAATGGATGGACTAGAAAATAACATCCTGAGTGAGGTAACCCACACCCAAAAGGACATGCATGGTATGTACTCACTGATAAGCGGATATTAGCTAAAAAGTACAGAATACCTAGGATACAACCGACAGACAGTTGAATTAGGGGAAGGATTAAAGAAGCTGAAGAGGAGGGCGACCCCATAGGAAGACCAGCAGTCTCAACTAACCTGGACCCCAGGGAGCTCCCAGAGACTGAGTCACCATCCAGGAGCATACACAGACTGGTCAGAGCCCCCCACCCCCACCCCCAGCACATATACAGCAGAAGACTCCCTGGTGTGGCCTCAGTGGGAGATGTGCCTAATCCTAGAGACTTGAGGCCCCAGGGAAGGAGGAGGTCTAGTGGGAGGGGGAGCACCCTCTCGGAGGCAAGGGGGAGGAGGAGTGGGGTGAGGAACTGTGGGGGGGGGATCAGGAGTAGGCAACTGCTAGAATGTAACTAAATAAAATAATTTTTAAAAAAATCACATTTTCATACAACATTCAAAGACTTACACAAATTATAATAGGATGTCCAGTCATTAAACAGAACAAATGTATAAACAAGACACTGTGAAGAGCCAAAGAAGGGAATGGTGGACAGATGTGTTCAAAATATATTGCTTAAATATGAAAAATTGTCAATGAAAAATTACTTAATAGCGATATCAAAAATATTTGAGTGATTTTATTTTCTTCTTTCTCCTGTTATGATTTTCAAGTCTGACACATTGAGCATTTTTGTAAGCAAAAAAATATATAAATAGACAAATACAAGTGTGTGACAGAAATAAACAGGAATCCTGGCAGCTTGATAAGAGCTGGCTGACCGAGGATGTGCTCTGTGCTGACGGGGGTCAGTCCCCACCAGGGAGTTTCTATATCTATCAATACACAAACCCCTGGGACTCTGTATCCATTTCATAGAGGCCAAAGAGGAACAGACCAGTGCGGATGACCCAGCCCCAGCCCTGAGGCGATGCCAACCCCACCCCAGCCATAAGACCCCAAGCCTTACTGTCATCAGTGTGCTGTCCCCACTTCCAACTGAGCTGAGCGACTATGAAGATAGTGTCAGAGAAGGGAACATCAACCACACAGTGAGCAAAGCAGACTGACACTGTCGGAGTGTGTGAAAGGGAGAGAGAAACAGAGAAAGAGGGTGTGGGGAGAGGGGAATGAATTTAAACATTTGTCAGAATGAGAAAGGACTGTTGCCAGCTCAGGAACAGTAAAAGTTGGTCTCACTTGCTTTTCCAACTTCTAAAATTCTTCATGGTTCTTTGAGACCCAAGACCTAGTGGAACAGCATGTAAAGTTAACCTCTGGCCTGAAAATGCACACGCATGCACATACACACAAAATCAGTCCTGGTGATGCATACTGGTGTGAACATGTACACACACACACACACAATCAGTCCTGGGGGACACCAGGACAGACAGGCAGCTTTCCTCCCCTGAAGAACAAGCCAATCCCATCACACTGCCTACCAACCAGTCACAACCAGATGCCTGCAACCCTGTTAACTGGTTCTCCAAATCCCACAGCCTTGCTCAATCCTTCAACCTGGGATCAGGAACCACAGATCCTAGGGTGTTCTCCTGGGCTCTCTTCTCAGTCACATCCTCATTTTTGTCCCTGGACATCTCAGATTCTACCATCAGTTACTCTAGTCTCTCTACTTTATCTGGCCTCGGCTCTTTGGCAGACTTCTTTTGGTGGAACATTCTAGAAGGAACAACCCTGGTAAACCAGACTCTGTGCTTAATCTGTACCTATTCCCAAACAGTTTGAGAAGCCTTGATGAGAAGAGAACTCAGCCTTGCAGCCTGCTCATCCATGTACACATGACTGTAGTCAGCCTTTGCTATCACATGCCTATCTAGTCTACTGCACTGAACGGACCTGCAGTCCCCCCCTCTTCACCTCCACACAGACCCGCTCCCCTCTCCTTACATCAGCAAATGACCTGACTTCTCCTTTCTGAGAAAACAGAGCCATTTTCCCAGCATTTCTCTCCTCGGGGAGGGTGAGCCATGCCTGGCCCAAGGCCAGACCGACCCTGGCACAACCCTTTCAACGTCTCAGGGATCTTCCCCCTCCCACCACCCTGTCTCTAGCAGTTCTGCTCCCTGTCATCCTCATCAGTGTAAACGAGATACTCCAGCTCCTGCAACTGATATCCACAACCCATATCCTCTTCTATAGTCCACGAGTAACTAGGAAAAGGCTTAGTTTAAAACGACAAGGAAGATTGAGGCTCAGTCTTACCGTATTTGGGGGCACACTTGAAGTACTGGACTCTGCCAACACTGCCGTTATTTTTCCCTTCTGGCTCATCCAGTTCAATGCCAGCCCATTGCCCACTTGCAAACTCTGTTGTTCCACAAAATCTTAATGTTCCAAGCTAGAGGAAATATAAATCAAAACAGGTTTTCAGTCTTATTAGTAATTCTAAATACCCTATTCTTAATAACACTACTTTTTATATCTTTCAAAGTAGACCTTAGAATAAGAAAATTTACCAAAGATTTTTTTTAAGTGGAAAAAGGATTTGTCAGGAAGACATGGAATCCTTCCCAGGTAAAGTTCTTTCCCAACAGAACTGAATAGAAAAGTCCGTGTTGTGGTGGGACTCAGCTCACCTCTCTGTTACAGCAGATTGAGCAGACCAGAAATCAGTGAGGATATATAGAAAAAGGAAGCCAGCTACAAACCAATTCAACTAAACTGGTATCTACAAAGCACTCCACCGCAGACATTAGCATACAAATGCAGAGGAACGGATTGGAGAAGTAGATCAGCAGGTAAGAGCACAGTCTGATCCTCCACAGGACCCAAGCTCAGTTCCAAGCACCTACCGTGGCAGTGCACTGCAGTCTGTAGCTTCAGTTCCATACTCTGCTGAGCCAGAAGAGTAGATCACACAAATAGCACACACACATACATGCAAGCAAAACACCCATACACATACAATAAAAAGCAAACAAAAATTTTAAATCAATAAAAAAAAAACAGAAATCACACAAAATATGTTCTTGAACCAGAATGGAGTTAAACTACAGACCATCAGTAGGGAGATATATGGTAATCTCCAAAACACTAAGTATAAATAATACATACTGAAAGAGGAAAAAATAGATTTTTTTCTAATAAGAGATAAGGAAAATTAACAAATAGTCTGAATGAAAATGAATGTGTCCGAATGTGTGGGGAACAGCAAGAGCAGTGCTTAGAGAGGAACTCAAGCCTCAGAAACTGCCTAAAATAAAGGCTCTGAATTCCCACCTCAGCAAACTAACATGAAGACCAAAGAAAGGGGGTAAATGCTGAATAGTAAACTAAGAATGGAAAAACAATACAGAAAATCAATGAAACCAGTAACACATTCTTTGAAGAATAAACCTCTAAATAGAAAATAAATTTTGAAATGGAGAGATAAGACACAAACTGGCTACCTGAGCAACAAGAGAAGCACTGTCAATGCTGTCTTAAAAGATGAGACAATGCTGCAAACAGCTTTGCCCGCCCATTTCACAGATGCTGTAAATTACTGCAACTGCTTGAAAGATACAAACTTTCAAAAAAAGCAATGCTCAAACTTGTGATTTAAAACTGAAAGAAGAAAAAAGTTCCCAGGGGCAGATGGCCTCAATGGTAAACTCTAACAAATTCTATACAAGCTCTCCTAAAATCTGAGTGAAGAGACACTGGTTCCCAAGGCATTAACGTCTACATTGCCTTGACATTAAACTGCTCAAGACACAGCAACTACAGACCAATATCCCACTTGAACACAAATGCAAACATTTTCAGCACATGTAGGACTAACCAAACGCAGTAATAAGGTGGTATGCGAGGCTTCCAATGGGATACAAAGCTCATCAGAGAAGGAATTATCTGGCATAATCGACAGACTAATGGGAAAGAAGACACAGAAGAAACCTACAACCAGCTGCCACATCCTTCCATGGTGACAGTTTAAGAAAAGACATAACTTGGCAGTTGGGAATCTCTTTAGCTTGACAAATGACATCTATACTAAAACCTTAGGTAGCAATATAGTGAGATCTCACTTGGAGAAAGAGGGCGAAAGGAAGGGAAAGAGAAGAAGGAGGCAGAGAATGAGGAAGAGGAAGAGGAGACAAGATGCTTGTTTACAAAGAATCCACAAGGTAAAAAAGCTAAGAACGTGTGGTCAGTGTTCAAAGACCAACTATTTCCATACGCTAGAAATGAACGAGAAAATAAAATTCAGCAATAGCACACACACACACAAACCTCATAAACATATTAAATCTAAATCTAGCAAATGTACACAATACCTAAATGGTTAAAAACATAGAAGTTGATTAAATAATCCAAAGACCCATATGAATATAGGAGCATATTGTGCTTAAGATGTAAAATCTACTCAACCTGACTGATCTAGACTCAACCGTGCTCAATTCAAAATCTCAGCAGAATTTTTTATAGAAATTAACAAAAGAATTCTAAAATGTACATGGAAAAAGACAAGGAATTAAAATTACCAGAACAGTTTGGCAGTGAAATTGCAGCCCTAACACCCGCTCACTGCTCATAGACGGAAGCAATGGACATGGCGTTGTAGAAAGTCATCAGAACAGGGCAGAACCAGCCCAGAACCAACCCCAGCAGATGTGCTCAAGGCATGTTTGAAGAGGCCCATGAGCCTCTCCAACAGAAAAGAGTCCTTTCTAGACATGGTATTTAATAGATAAGTTTTTTTAAAAAGAGAAACTCAAGATACAGTTGGTACTCTCAAAACTTAATGCTAGGGGGTTGGTGTGATCAGAATCATAAGGACTTGAGTTTAATCCCCACAAACCACATTAAAAGGCCAGGCACTGTGGTATACACCTATAACCTCAGGTCTGGGAAGGATCCCTGGGGCTTGCTGGCTAGCCAGGCTAACAGAGTCAGCAAGCTCCAGTTCAGTCAGAGACTGGGTGTCAAGAAGTAGAGATGAACTGAGGAAGAAACCTGAATCACCACCCCCTGGGCTCCCACGTGTATGTACATATAAACACATATATACATATATTCTGTTTCCTCTCTCTCTTCTCTCTCCCTCTCCCCCTCCCTCTTCCCTATCCCTCTCCCTCTCCTTCTCCCCCACCTCTCTCCCACACACACACAAAGTAAATATAAAACTAGCTGGTTGTAGTATTCACTACAATCTTGGCTTTTGGGAAGAAGGAAGATGTGGAATTCAAAGTTATTCTCAGCTACATAACAGACGCTTCTACTTGGGTGGAAAATTATCCAACCCAAAAAGTAAATAAAATAACTTTTTTCTTGCATTTTTAAGATTATAATACAATTACACCATTTCCATTCCCTTTCCTCCCTCCAAACCCTCCCCTACACTTCTCTTGGCTCTCTTTCAAACTCATGGCCTTTTCTTTCATTAATTGTTGGAAAAAAATTATATGTCCTAAATCTAATCTGCCCTGTCTGCACAATGTTACTTGTATATAAATCACCATAATCCCTAATAACAATCTAAACATTTGTCCTTATACCCACAGGTAAGTATAGTCCTCATCCCTCATCAAGAAAACTTCATTTCAAAATACACAGTGACTCTTTTAAACCCCTTGAGACATAGTTACAAGAATGCTACAAAGAAGACTTGCCATTCACCCATAATTTTTAAAAGCCACACATTAATAAATTGTCATTTTCATTCCAACCAGTAACAAATTGACAAATGTCCTACTGTTTTGTAAACTGGTGAATGTCACTCATTCTTCACCTAAAACACATCTGTAGCTGTCTCCTTTGTGAAGCAGTTTCCTCTGGTACACCAAGCTTTCAAATCCATGCTTCTCTGAGAAGCCTTCATCACCCAGCCCAACACTGAGATGGTAGCAGTTGGAAAGGTTACTGTCTAGGCACGAGTTCCCCATTCCACTCCATACTTGCGGATTCCCACTACCTCAAAACTAAGAATAAAAACCTCTGATAGAGTGTGGCTCAGCAGTGTGGCATTTGCCATGTTCACAGGGCTCTGCTCAAGTCACAACACTGAAGGGGAACAAAGCTCCCCAAAGAGGTATCCAAAGAAAAGAGAGAAATTGCCACAGTGGGGGTCACACAGAAGCCACAGTCTGTCTAGCAAGCTTTTATGTAAAGAAGCACTCACTGACTTCCTGACTAGCAGGTCTGTAGCATCTGAATGTTCCCTATTTGTGAGACTTCAAAGCCAAACACAGAAGAGTAATGAAGGTTGCCTCTGCTCGGTTGGCAGGAGAAGCCACTGGCAGGGACAATTCAGAGTAGACACAGCAAGGTCATTTCTCAGCTCCTGCCTCTAAAGTCACTCAATAGTTCTCTATGCCACTGCTTCCCATGCAAATAAAGAACCCTTCACTATTGAGTTCACCAGTAAACTTACATCTAAATTTCACAGTTTTAATCAAGCATTTTTGAAATGCTGAACTTGTTGAAACTTTTCTCCCAAACTCAAAATTGTAAGGGTGTTGGCACACAACTCCTAGACACAGACTATAAGTCCAGCTTCAGGCATTGCAGTGACTTACTGTACCTTCTGTCCTGCGATGACGACACGGTCCCCCAACTTCAGGCCAAGAGATGCCAGCATGGCCTTGCTAGTAGTGTGGTCACAGTTTGGAAGCATGGCCTTGGAGATGGTACAGGACAGAGGCACGGCATCTAAGAGCATCTGCTTGATTTCCTTAGCGACTGCTGCAGCATCGGCCATCTCCAGAGGCATGTCCACTGGGTCTGGAACAACATCTGCAGGGATCTGTCCTTTGTCGTTCTGCCATAGACAAGAGAAAAGCCTCAGTTCTTCACACTCAGAGCACTAGACAGCTACCTACCTATGGAGGGCTTTAAAGTCTGATGCAGCCATTCATTTATTAAAAACTACCTAATGAACTCTTCTGTTGTACCAGGCACTGATCTAGGTGCTAAAGATACCACTGTGAAGGGAAAAGACACTCTGCCCTCAAAGAGTGCACACACTTGTAGGAGAGACAGACCATCAACAGATTATACTATGTGTGAGCCAGGACCTGGGTGGCATGAAGACACCAAGGCACAAGAAACATGGGCGCGAATGTGGCTGTTGGGGAGCTGAAGACATAGATAGATGTGAGGAAACCCTCACTGATGAGATGCATTTGCACAGAGATGCAAAGGAGGTGAGGGGAGAGACGGGCAAGCACCAGCTCGGAGAAACGGACCCAACCACACAAGCGCAAAGTAAAGTACCAGGATGACTGGCTGTGCAACCTGAGACCCGGCTACATCCACGCACACTCGCAACAGACACTTAGTCAACCAGGGGCCACATACACTGATCCCGATTCACAGTAGCCTTAGTTTACAGAAGTTCACACAAAGGTAAAGGATCTCCTCCAACCATGTTTTTCTTAAAACCTGTCCTTGTCATTAAGGGCCACATGACTACATTCCACCACTGACACTCTGGCTCTGTGATGTCAGCCATCTGTCTGATCCTATAGCAACTCAGATTTCAGAAAGAGAGCCGACAGTCTCTCTACTGTGTATTGTATCCTAAGCTGCACCGTTTTCCCTGTGAAGGGGAGACAGCATCCTGGAGGAGTTTCTCATAAAATGCAACAGCCAGCTAGAAGCCCACTTCGTTTACATGGTGTTTATGTAATTTAAAGTCTGTCCTAAAAACACTTGGTTCTCTCAAAGAAAAGCTTGTAATCAGAATCTCCAGAGGCATGGGAATTCCAGACAGTGAAGAGTTCACATTATAGTAGGAGAGGTAGTAACCAGTTAAAAACATTCTGAGATGTCAGTAGGCCACTTAGAAAACGGGACATAAGTGGGGAGATTTAATGACTAACCAAGAGATACCCATGTGACTTCTGGAAGGGTTTCCCTGCAAGCCGTGCTGCCTGCACCCCAAGAGACGCACACAGGTGGAGTCTGTCTGTTCCCGACACCATTCATCTCCCTGAAACATCTTTCTTCCTTGCCCCCCAAGCCAAACCCTAGCCCCTGTGAGAAAGTGTTCAGAGTTGTTAACTAAAAACCATGTTTTCACTTGTCTCTCCACTGATAACCCTCAAATGACCTATGAGGCTTAAAGAACATACTCTGTTTGTAATTGTCTTTTGGTTCGGTTGTTTTGTTTTTTAAATTCAAGTCAGCTTGAAAAACATATGTTATAAGATTCTTGGAATGGTAGTGAACTAATTTAATCTTAGATTTCAAAAAAAATTAGAAAATACAATGAACATGCACATGGCACTCAAGTCTATGCTCTGGAAAGTGAGGGTTTATGTAGGAAAAAACACAACAAATAATTAATTAATCAATTAATTTTTTAACAAGGCTGGGCCTTAGTTCATAAAGTGAACACTGAGTGATTCCTAGTTCCTAGAGCCCATATAAAAGGCTGGCTGTGGCAGCTTGTGCTTATATTCCCAGTGCTGGGAGGCAGAGGCAGGAGGAGCCCTGTACTTGCTGGCTGGGTAGACTAGCTGAATCATCAAGTATTCAGAGATCTGGGTTCAGTAGAAAACTATGTCTCAAAAATTAATGTGGAGTTGGGTGGTGGTGCACACACCTTTAATCCCAGCCTGGGGAGGCAGAGGAAGCCTGTGACTTTGAGGCCAACTTGGTCTAATGAGTGAATTCCAGGACAGCCAGAGCTGCACAGAGAAACCCTGTCTCAAAAAGAAAAATATTAAAATGGAAAGTGACTGAAGAAAATACTTGATGGTAACCTCTGGGCTTTGTACACAAACATGTACAAGTGTGCACACGCACACACACACAAACACACATACACACGTAAACACACATATACATAAACACACATACACATATGCACATATATACACATACATATACACACATACATATACACGCATACACAAACACACATATATCTACACACATACACACACATGCACACATACATACACATATACACATACACACACATATGCATACATATATACACACATACACATACATATACACATATACACACACACACACACACACACATATACACACACAAAATGGTAGCAACATTATCTTCCAAACCTCAGAAGGCTTCTTCACAGCTAAATGCAGAGTTCCATTTTCTGCTGTCATAATGACTATCAAAGTAAAATCCAGAGGTGACTTCCTGGACCCATGATGGCTAGTTTAAGAGGTTACTTAATTATTAAAGGAACATTTATTTGGATTTTGTATTTACTTTACCTCGTTTTCTTTTCAAAGGAACTTAACAATGTTAGCACATACAACATTTGTAGTTAATAGGTAACTTTTAATAAATATGTCAGAAGCCTTAATGAGAGAAACTTTAAGATTATCTTTTTCTGAATGGGAGTTTCATATAATTCAATAGGAGGGAAACTTCCCAGGATGGCTTAAATTTATCAAAAGTAAAAGGCATCACATCGTACTGTTTATATGTGAAGCAAAAATGTAGGGCATTTGCGCCTGTGAGAGCTCTATCAGTAACAGCGTCGGATCCAAGCCTTCCCTGAGGAGGACGTGAGGTTTCCTTCCCTGGCTTCAGGCTCTTACCCTAAATGCAGGGTTCGCCCCCAGCTCCAGCAAGGATTTCACAGCTCCTGCACACAAGTTGTGTGCTGCAATGTGCAGGGCTGTCCCAAAATTAAAGTCGCTGCAAGTGGCATCCACATCTGCAATCAAACATCACACATATATTAGCTAAAATTTTAAATTTAGCTATCGTAATTTCTAAGAAGATTCATGAGGTCTCAGGAAGGAGATTTCTGCCTTTTATAGACTTGTCCCCCACCAAGTGCAGTATTTCATAATGGGAGAAATCTCCGTGATTATAACTTGCCTAAAAAAAAAAAAATAGCCAGATGAATATTCTCCCAGCTCAGTGTAACGCCTTGTACAATGGAATGAGACTCTCGAGTTTTCCAACTCATGGTCTATTTCCTAAGGTGACCCCCCATGGAGGCAGTGAAAGGTAGTAACTCATACTTGTGACATAAGCAGCTTCTCATATCTGCTCACTCCTCTCTTAGGCATTTCCTTGAACTAGCAAAGTAAGAAAATCACCTTTAGGTCAGGGATCAGCAAAGGAACCCTCTGATCCAAATATATCCTACCCGTTGATTCTCAAACTTTTACAGGAATGCCGGTTCTGAGCCCACAGCCACACTCCAACTGCAGAAACAAGTAGCTGTGACAGGCACAGGTGGTCTAAAAAGCTAAAGCAGCTATTCACCAGTTAGCCCTTGACAAAACAAAGATGGCTGAATAATGAAGAGTCCTCAAACCAAAACAAGTCTGGGAAGATAGAGGTGCAAACACACTGAATCATGACACCACCCAGCAGGTGAATTTGACCACTACAATAACAAGAACTTCACAATTCTAAATAACAGTAACAATTTAATAACAGTAAATCACATAGCCTTTTACTTGAACAGGATATCCTCTGAAAGGAGAAGCCTATTTTGAATGTTCTCTACAAGAGTTTAATAGTCTCTGGCTCTGCAATTGTACAATAATCTGCAGGGGACCATGCTGGCATGCCCACATACCTGTGACAATATAGACTTGCTCACACAGACTCCATCATTACTGAACATAGGACCATCGACAGAGATTCTCACCCAACATCATACAGAAGTTGTAAAGACAGAATTTTAAAGGGCTTGAATAACTGTGTGAACTAGAAGTTAGAAACTAACACTGTAGTAAGTTTATCTCTTGAATCTCTAAAGTGCCTTCTTTTCTAAAAGAGATGGCACTGGGTGCTCTCTCAAAGCTGAAAGAGTACTCTCTCTTGCTCTTATTCTTCTCCAAAGAGGGGAACCAGAGAGAATGTCAGCCTTAGGGTATCTCCATCGAGATGTTAGGGGACCCTAAAATTCATCAAAGATTTTCTGAAATGAATGATAACTAAAGAATCCCTTTATTATTTCAATGCCAGCCAAAACACTCTGCTGCTCTATCTCTGGCTTCCCAAGCTAGACAAAAGAATTAAAAAGCACACCACATGGGTTACACATAAAATCCTCACTACACTGGAGAAGCTGCAGAGACAAAAAGACCCAGAAAACAGTTGGTTTTTAATTTGTAGCTCTTTGTACCACACACCTTTTGTGAAAGGACTGTAACCTCTAACAAAAAATTCTAAACCACTTCAGAAGTCAACCAGGGTAGGAAGTAAAACCAAAGCACAGTAGAAGAAAAGTCTCCTCAGTGGCGCCCTGGACGCCACTACAAAATGCCCCATTGCTAATGGAGATCTCCCAGCACTTGCCTTTTGGTTTCGATGTCTTCAAAATCACTCTTATAAGCTCTGGGACATCAAAGTACGAAGCATAATGCAAGGCGTTCATGTTTGTCCAGCGACTCCGCAAACTCGCATCTGCTCCGAGGTCAATAAGTTGAGCTGCAAATTTTACAGCTGTCTCAACATCACCTGAGGAAAAATAAAAGTCCTAAATTATTTTTCTTCAGTACAAATTTTAATTCCCAATACATACCTCTCTAATGCCTTCTTTAAAAACCAAAGCAAACAATACAACTGGATCTACATTTATACGTCAAAAAGCTTACCTTAGAAGTTTATTCCAAGAGAACACTCCCATTCAAGAGTGTAAAGGAACACTCTGAAGATACTCACCATATGGTTACAGAGTAAAATTCTGACAGCCTAAGAGCATGGTAAAACATCCCTTAAATAAACTAAGACCTCAATATTATGAAATACAAAGAAGGTACTTAAAGTAAAATGACAGACCAGTGTAAAATGTCATGATCTCATCTTTAGACTATAAATTCTTTTTGATTTTATGGTACTATGAACACATTGAGGATTACAAGAAGAAAAACCCCTTTACCACTAACAGTTTAAGAAGTTCTATATCAGATTGTTGAAACAAGAGGAGACAACCATAATATAGTAAGTGGGACAGGTTAATCCCTCACAAAGCACAGAATAGCAGTTTTGGACATGTTTCATAAGTAGGAACAGAACCTCAGAGATGAGCCTATGTCCTAGTCTTGAAGGAGAGTTATGCTAGAAAACTGGTCTTGACCCAGTCTTGCTGGAAGCCCTCTGGAAGATTCTCGGGTGGTACCAATTAATCTCAACTACTGGTCAGTTATGCATGAAGCCTACTACAGAAAATGTGGAGACACAGTCACAGGAACAAAGACTTATCCAAGGGAAAGGAAAAGTTTTGAGTGGACCAAACTGACTCCTCACCTACTTGGCTGAGGGTCAGCTGGGCACCCCACCCAGGCCACTGACCAGTAATAGGCACCGATGCACAGCAAGGAGCTGGCCACATACTCACCGATGCCGTGAGCCCCAGACTTGCAAGTGTAATGTAGCAGAGTCATATCCGTCAGTCCGTCTCTATCATTCACATTGCAGCCTCTCTTAAGAATCTGGGGAAGGAGGTCAAAAGACAGTAAGGAAGTCTGAAGGAGTCATAGGAATCGTATCATCTAGTTCCCTAAACCTACATGTAAACATGTAAATCTTCCTAAACAGATGAAACTTTCCCATCTGTGCTGACCACATTCCTCTACTCCAAAAGCCATACACTGACAAAACCCCCAGTGTTGGTCATGAAATTCCTCTTTTGGGGAATTTTGGTCAGAGGAGTCCAAGAGACTCCCAAAACATCCTAGGCTATTGCCGCTGCCGTTGGTGGCCTCCTAGAGGTGGAAGGTAAGTCCCTATCACTGGAGACACTATCTGCTTAAGACGTAAGATCAAGAGGATCTGAGCTGGATCTGACCTGAAAGCCTCCTCCCCAAGGACCAGCTTCCATAGAACCAAAAGGCACCATGTAAGCTTCGAAGGGAAGGAAGGAACCAAGAGTCCTACATGATATCCCTCAGAGTGCAATAGTGGGAAACATACCTTAATGGTAACCAGTAGTTCAACAAGAAAAAAGCTATGCCTAGTACTAGAAACCTAGCCAGATACCCAGGAAGAGTGGGGCCAAGGATCTTGGAGAACCTACTATCACCATTTAACTAAAAGCAGAATAATTTTTAGCTATATTCTAAATTGTTTAATGTATACCTACAGGTAAGTATGTCTCACCCCTCAGCAAAGAAATGTCTCTTTGAAACAGAAAGAGACCATTATTTTAAAAAACACACAGTTAATTAAAAAATGTGGAGGAAAGACACATGGTTGCCTAGCCCCAGCAAATATATCTGCAACTCAGCTCCCAGGCCTAAGCTCAGAGATCACAGTGTAAAAGGGGACAGAAAGATTGTAAGAGCCAGAGGAACAGGAAGTTTGCTGTGAGCTGTATCTCTTAGAAATGTCAAGAAGCTACACTCATGACAGCCTGAACAAGACCTGAACAAAGACAACAGCAATAGGCAGGCTGACATGAAAGGGGGATACCACACAGAACCCCAACCTGATCTGGCAACTAAGAAATGCTACTACCAGGAGAAATAAGTCTTCCCCAGAGAAGAACCCTCAATTGGTTATCCAATACCAAGTGGTCCACTCTGAAATCATATACTTACAAGTAACAGTATATAGACTTAGCAGGTTGTATTTATATATTCATAATATAAATGTAATAACAAAGAAAGTGAGGCCATAAATTTGAGAGGGAACAAGGGATGGGATATATGGAAGGTGTTAGAGAGAGGAGAGAAAGAAAATGATGTAATGTCCTAATCACAAAAGATAAAAAGAAATTAAACTTTTAAAAACTAGCCTGAGAAAGCCCACAATTATACTATAACAACAGGAGGCATCGACACCTTCAGACCAACTCAACCAACCCATCTGGCCACACTGCAGCCAACACTGCACTCAGCATTAACGAACGCTGAACTGTCTACAGGCAGGAGGGCTAGCTGTTCTTAAAGACAATGCCAACATAACGTTACTCCAAATATGTTCTTTCAAAAGTGAGAAAAAATTTCCAACAATTACAGTGATACTTTTTTAAAAATGCATATGCCTTCTTCCTACAGCACACATGACAACATGTGTATCAAAAACCCTCAAAAGGACATTTTAAATTTACATTTAAACCATCCCCAAGTGTAGAAGGAACGTGACGGTGTTCAAAACTTTTATGAAATGTATGGCAGGCAGAACTACTTTGTACAAAGAAAGAAGTGTGCAAAATGCCACCCCCTGCTCCCACCAGAAGTCTGCAATAACAGAGGTGCAAGAGGATCCAGTGGGAAGCGTGCCCACTGAGCCATAAAACCCTGGAAATGGAGACTCACTGTGGAGCTGCGATGCTTCTCCCTGTCCGGATCTTTCTTCTCAGGAGGAGGAAGTATTCAAATCATTAGTCCCAGTAACACAAACCTTAGCATGCCAGGCACACCTACCTCATTTCCAATAATGTCTATGTTCTGCTGGACCTGAGGAACCCACTGTCTTAAAATAGCAAACAATTCTGAGACTGAAGTTTTGGGGTCGAAGAGAATTTCCTGGCATGATGCATCATTAGGATCAAAGAAAGAAAACTCTGAAATACAAAACAGTGCAAATTTAATTTATTTATGGTTTCTAGCATTTTGAAAATAAATAATGGGGTAAACATGCAACTGATACAAACATTTTTAGAAGCTAGAAAAAAAGTCAGATAACATTAAGCAACTCTCAAAACCAAGAACGGGGCATGCTTAAAGCACCCTGACCATGAGGCTCCCAAGAACCACACGTAGAGAGTATAACACCAGATGTGCGAGCACAGGTCTCAAAGCCTGAGTTTTGCAAATGTGATTTCTAAGACATAGAAACATCATCAAATTTCATCCATATTTCTCTCTTAACACACAAATGGCAGATAGTGGGTTCCCATGGACAAGTATAAGCCAGGTAAAAATAAACGTGGCAAGCACGTTTATAAAGGTGGCAAGGACATCTGTCTGCACGTTCTCTTCACCCTTCTGCATTTCCTTTTGAATTTAATAAACACACATCAGTTGTCACCCATCAGACAAGCGTAAGGTGAAATGCCAAGTGTGGTGGTTTGAATTATAATGTCCCCCACAGGCTTACAGATCTGAATACTTGGTCACCTGGAAGTAGCATTTTCTCAAAGGATTAGGAAGTGCGGCCTTATACTGAGGGGTGGGCTTCGAGATTGCCAAAAGCCCATTACAACCCCAGAGTCTCTCTCTGCCTGCTGCCTGTGGATCCAGACGTAGAACTTCCAGCTACTTCTCTAGCACCATGTCTGCCTGCATGCTGTCATGCTTCCACCATGATAATAATGGACTAAACCTCTGAAACTGTAAGCCAGCCCCAATTAAATGCTTTCTTTTGTAAGAGCTGCTGTGGTCATGGTGTCTCTTCACAGCAATAGACCACCAACTAAGACACCATTCCAACAGAAAAGGAACTAGTGACCAGAGTGCAGGAACGGAAGGAGAAACACAGGCACAAAGCAACTACATTATTCAGGAATACGAACTAGTAAAACCATAAGGAATCATGAAGGGTTATCTCAGGACTCCTCAGCATGCCTTTAGTAAGAGTTGGTGAAAATCAATTAACATCTAGTGACAAAGGCTGCCCTGCAAAGGAACACAACAGTCCAGAAGAAAATCAGATTCTACTGTCTTAATCCAAAAAAGAAACTATAAAAGGCAGAAAAATCTAAAACTGGGAAATAGTCCAACCAACATTTGCTGAGTACCTACAGTTTAACAAACACCATATAAGTCCCCAAAAAATTGTGATTCAAGTTTTGCATAAGGAAAAGTCAGATCATGTACACACAACACTGGGCTCAAAGTCACATAAGTAACAAGTGACTGTGTGGGGTGGGAATCAGGCCTGTCTCCACTGTCTTCTCAATCATGCTCCCTTCAACGGAAAGCTCACTGAGATCAGACTGTGACCCCACACACAGTCCTAGGATTCCTGGGGTCTTCAAATTTGTCTTCTCTGTGCTTTCAAATATTTGGAGTGAGATAACCAAAAGGTTAAGGAGAGGCACAGAACTGAGGGCATCTATGAAACAACAGCAGCCATCCATGAAGAGAGTATCAGCTTTCTGATTCTGTGCAAGCCCTTTCCTAGTAAGCCATACTGTTCTATTTAAACAGGGAAGAAAGCAAGCATAGGACTTCCTGTGTTGGTCATGAAATTCTTCTTTTGGGGAATTTTGGTCAGAGGAGTCCAAGAGACTTCCAAAACATCCTAGGTTATTGCCGCTGCCGTTGGTTGCCTCCTAGAGGTGGAAGGTAAGTCCCTATCACTGGAGACACTATCTGCTTAAGACATAAGATCAAGAGGATCTGAGCTGGATCTGACCTGAAAGCCTCCTCCCCGAGGACTAGCTTCCATAGAACCGAAAGGCACTGATCTCTGGTCTGCTCTTGGTAGCAATGTGGAGGGTTTTTAATTTTCAGGGAATCCTCCTAGGAAATGAAGGTTCTGAGTTGTCAAGGTAACTTTATGTGCCTTTTGCTGTCTTTGCATGCTTTGGCTTTTTAATTAAAAGAATCTAGGAGTTTTTCTTATCTTCTTTGAAACTATATGGATTTATCTATTTGTCTTTGAAATGCCTGTCCCTTTGGTTTAATGGAAAACTGTAAAAATGTGACCCTATTTAATGTCTTGACTTTTTTTTTTAACAAGCTTCTCAAAACTCAAATGCTAAAGTCTTTCTGACTTCACATTAACTTTGGGGTTTTACAGAGGAACACAAATGAAAATGATTTTGTGCCAGGCGATGGTGGCGCACACTTTTAATCCCAGCACATGAGAGGCAGAGGCAGGCGGATTTCTGAGTTCGAGGCCAGCCTGGTCTACAGAGTGAGTTCCAGGACAGCCAGGGCTACACAGAGAAACCCAATCTCAAAAAAAAAAAAAAAAAGATTTTGTTCCCTTTCCATATATGTATGTATATATATATATAATATATATATATAAAACACATATATATGTATATATATACATACATATATATGTATATATGTATATATATATGAAAATGTGTATATTTACATGTATATATGGAAATATATATGTATATACATACATATATATACACATACACATATAAAGAAGCCTGGAAGATACTGAACTAATTAGACTCACTTGCACTGGAAGAATTATCAAGCAAAAGTAAAACCAATCAGAGGCTGTATTGTACAGTGTATCCAACTGAGTGGCTTAAATACCAACAAATAACAAGTGCTGCTTAAGTATCTATGACATGTGACACTTCACCTGCTACGTTACAGACATGATTGGCAGATGATAAATATCAGTGATTTGTCCAGGAACTGTATGAAATTCTTAGAAATCTGGTAGGCCCTGGTATGACTTACAACTATACATATTATATGTAACAGCTACAATTCAAGTTATCTGAAACGTTACAGCAGTAACCACTTTTCTACATCAATCGCATTACAGTGAGCTCCCACTGAACCTTGAACCATGGCCTTAACTCCTGAATCACCGATAGATTTTTTAGTTTATTCCAATGTCTTTCTGAAAGCTTTTATAAGCATGTACTATACAACTATGAGAGGACTTATGGAAGGCCTGTAAATTATAGGTTTCTGGCAACTTAAAGATCATGCCACTGGGCTGGGCGAGACCCTCCAGAGTCCTCTGGAAGGCTAAGCGATCAGGAGGCAGTGGGCCTGAGCTCAGCAGAGCAAGACTCAAAGAACTGACTGGGTAACTATGCCCACGACCTTGCTGGAAATATTCTTGGCACTTCAACGTTCTGTTGTTCAAATTTAAAGTGCCCCCTTTTCTCTTAAGACCTGAAACTTAACAGCAGTTTGGAAAAGTAAGACTTTAAAAAAGAAAAGCAGCAGCATTTTTTTCCTCTCTGAACTCATCCCCATCTGGCTGAACCCAGAATTCACAAGATCTCAGTGTACACTCTTCACTTCCATGGCACTGAGCTCAGGAAAACCTGTTTCCTTCTAACGGGTCACAGTGTGTGAGGCTTCAACTTGATGTCTTGGCCTGGAATAAAGTTAAAAGTCTGCTCTGAGACTCTGTATTACCAGCTTGCCTGAAAAAATCTGGCTCCCTCTACGTATCGTACTCTGACTGGAATGTTCTGCTTGAGCATAAGCACAGAGCTGGTTTGTCTGATACATTTCTGGGAATAACCAGACCAAGTTTAAATAAACCAGACTTATTTTACAAGCAAGTTAGTTTTATTGTGATTGTGTCTGGCAAGAAATGTGGATGGAGTAAAAAAAAGGTTATGATTCTGTAGAGTACTATGATGTCAGACTCTTATCTCTGTGGTCTTAGCTATCTGTGAGCCTGACTGGATTCTGTGTTTCTCTAACTTTCCTCTAATATCTGGTCAGCACTTTCCAGTTTTCTAAGAGTCCCCATCCTCTTATTTCTCCAAGTTGAAGCTGAAATATACAAGTTAACCTTAGAGAGATAAGTACTACTCAAAGAGTTTGCCAAAATACCAGATGGCATTACCAAACATTCAAATTGGAAGTAAGGGCAATTCATCCATTGAAAGCACTGTCCTCATCTTACCAGATGTTGTGCAATGGGACTTCAGTCTCCTGGGTGACTGATACAGGTGCATGGTACCTGAGGAAAGACTTCCCAGTTATTCTGGTAAGTTGTCCAAGGCCATGTGGTGCCTTATACAATTCTACTGAAGAGTCTATAGATTCTTGTAATAGGTAAGGCTCCTTCCAGTGAGACTCAAGTGTGCCTTATACAACTCTACTTAAGAGTCTATAGATTCTTGTAATAGGTAAGGCTCCTTCCAGTGAGACTCAAGTGCAACACTTGGCTGTTGCCTCTTCTAGGAAACCAGGTTCTGATGTTTGGACACATTGTCTTTGGAAACAGATCATAGAACAGTTCTGAGACCCGTGGGAAGTCACCCTCACATCCTGTATTAGTGCCAACTGGCCTGGAAAGGAGAAGCCTGGGTCTGACTGGGGCCCACTTGATCTTTTCAGCTGGTTCAAGATGGGTAAGTGGGCACCCTGGCTTCAAGGTCCCTCTGGATGTTGTGTACTAACCTCACCCAGGGACTCTCACAAGCTCTTCTACAATCTCATCCTCTTGGGTCTTAAACCTTTTAAAATCTCCACTAACTTGGCAAACATCTCCACAGAAATCAAACAACAAAAACTGCACAAACAAGAGTTGTGGGACCGTGAAAGGATAGCTTGGTTTCTGGTGGAGCACTGGCTAGAGATGGCCAGAGACCCAACAGGTATCCCTGCAAGGGACAGCATACATTCTACCATGCTCCCAGACTCCAGGCTCCTGAAATGAGGCCGAACACCTCCATTGATCCACACCTTTCAGTCATGTAGAGCAATGCCCCTACCAGTCCCTCAACAGGTAGAGGGTGTGACTACAGGCCACAGAGCCTCGAGAGATCTCCATATTAATGAGATACCTAAAGGCCAGAGGGCATAACCAATTAAGCATTCCTTCCCAGACCCTCCTCCTTACAAATGGTATTTAATCTCAGGCCTGTCCTGAGGATACAGCATACAGGGTATAGCTATATTCACTTTCCACCATGACAATAAAACTTTTAAAACCACGGACTTCCTCGTGTCTTCCCCCCCCCACCCCCACTGTGGAGAACCATGGAGAAGGTCTTCAACTATGAGCTGCTGTCTAATCTCTCGTGGAGGACCTCTCTGTGTTCCCACCATGGAGGCCTGCCAACTCAAGCAAGCTAGCCGAGCCAGCCTTGACCCAGGCAAGCGAGTCACTTCAACCAAGAGGCAGGAGCTTCTCTACCCCAGGCGGGAGCGTCTCTCCCTCGCCCCTCTCTGCTGCAAGCTGTTCCAGCCCATATGTCCTGGCGTCTCAGTTCTTCCACGGCTCCCAGTGCATCTGGGAGCCCAAGGACAGAGACCACTGGTCTCCTGGTCAGCTTCAGCCAAGAGACCCCCAACCCAGGAGCTCTGCCCCCTCGGGACTTCAAGCTGAGATCTCCCCACGCCCAGGCGGAGTCCAGCAGCTTCTCATAGTCTAGCATCCGCCTAGTGCCACGTGGAGTGAACTCAGTCAAATTCCTGTGCTTCTGCTCCCCGAGCCACAGTTCCAGCCGCCTGGGGCGGGATCCACAACTCAGCCCAACAGGACCCACGCACGAGCTACAGCACCACAAAGAGTCATCAGAAGAACCTGCGGAGGTTTGCAGGGCATCCTGCGGATTCCAGGGAAAAGGGAAGAAGGAGAAGAAAGGACTGAGAAAGTGCCTCAGAGGTGGCACCGTCAAGACAACAGAGAGGAATCTGGGAAAACAAGTCAATCCACAGGTTGGATTGACTGGCTCTAATTCATAAACTCAGGTGTGTTTCTTACCAATGGATTTAAATTTTACCAAACAGTTTCTTACCAAGCAGTTAATGGGTTTTATTTCTCTGGTTCAATTCACTCACCCATCAACTAGTCACTTTCAAAGGCACCAGATATTGCTTTTTCTTTTTCTTAAGATTTATTTATTTTATGTATGTGAGTACTCTGTAGCTCTCTTCAGACACACCAGAAGACGGCATCAGATCCCATTACAGATGGTTGTGAGCCACCATGTGGTTGCTGGGATTTGAACTCAAGACCTCTGGAAGAGCAGTCAGTGCTCTTAACCACTGAGACATCTCTCCAGCCCCAGCACTGAACATTTCTAATGGAGAAATTTCTAAATATATGAGTACACGCCTGAAGAGCCTCTTCTGCATGCCCTACAAGAATGTTCATTCTTTTCTGAGAGGAGAATTACAATTCCCCAGGGATAAACTTACTGATTGGTTATCCAATGCTAGTGGTCAGGCCTGAAATCATATGCGTATGAACAACACTAAATAGACACCGTAGGTTGTATGTGTGTGTGTGTGTGTGTGTGTAACAATAACAATTGAAAAAGAGGCCATGAATTTGAGAGGCAGAGGGGTGCTGGGAGGGACTGGGGGGGAGAAAGGTAAAAGTAAAATGGTATAATTACATTTTAATTTTAAGTATTTTTTAATCAAATGCCTAGTCTAGCAGGGACAGTACTAGGAGAGAATAATAAAATGAGATGTCTCTTTAGAGGATCAATAAAATATATTGATTAGAAACTAAATAAATGCATTAAGATCTAAGTCGTATAATACTAAGAACAGATCTCAAAATGTGTAGTAGTGAATCAATTAAGTTACAGAATTATACACACATTTACATAAGACTGTAAGTATACAAAATGTCACTACCTGTTGTTTGCAGGTCTTCACATAAGTAACCAAATATAATTAGTGATCTAATCATCCACACTAAATGTAAGACAGCCATTCCTCTGGGGACAAGGGGAACAGTGCAGAGGCTAAATAGAGAAAACTTTGAACTGTATCTCTTTGAAGGATTTTTTTTTTTAGCTAAGTCAAACAATAACTATGTCAGTTCACCAGATCAATGGTGGCTATGTATCAACAAATGCATAGTCAAGTGGATATTTTCTCCAGAAAAAAAAAAATCCTACATAAGGGAAATATAATGAGAACAATATCCCATACCAAAAGTCCATAAAAATAACAGGCATGCCAATAAATACATGAGTCTTATTTAGAGAAAATTTAAAAGTGCAGGACTTGAGCAGAAAAAAAAATCACACTGTAGGATTTTAAAGAAATAACTTAAAGCTGTCAATTCTCTACAGAGCTTTTAAGTAATTTCAGTTCTAATCATACCTTCACTTGGATTTACTGGTGAGGGACAAAGACAGTTCTGTTCTTGTTCTGTATCAGAGCTGTTCCAACACTAATGGAGACAAGTTCCTCGGGATCTTGTTACAATGTAGATTCTAACCTAGTAACTCTCCACTGAGCCCCAGACTACCTTTCTAGTGAGCTCTGAGATACTATGCTACCAGCCTAAGAGACAGACAGTAGCAAAGTTCTGGAAAGTAAATGTAGGAGAAAAAAGCAAGAAGTCTTGAGTGACACCATCAGCCCTGCGGGTAGGGAAAGCATGTAACAGTGCTTCAGTAATTAAAAACAGTCAAATGGGTTGGAGAGATGGCTCAATGAAAAAGAGCACTGGCTGTTCTTCCAGAAGATCTGGGTTCAATTCCTAGCACCATCATGGCAGCTCACAACTGTAACTCCAATCCCAGGGATCCAATGCCCTCTTATGGCTTCTGAGGGCACTAGGCACCAACACAATATGCAGACAAAACATGCACATGTATAAAATAAATAATTTTTAATTTTTCAAAAACATACTTAAAATGACAAAAAAGTAGACATCTCATTTTAAATAATAGCAATGGACTGTACTTATTAAGTGTTTGACTAGCATCTGGGATGGGACTCCTCCTCTTCTTCTTTGCTTGTTTTGTTTTGCTTTTATTTTAAGATAGGGTCTCTCTCTATAGCCCTGGTTGTCCTGGAACTCACTATGTAGACAATGTTGGCCTGAAACTCCAGCTGCTTCTGCCTCCCAAGTGCTGGGATTAAAGACATTTGCCACCATGCCCAGCATGTAACAATGTTTCAGTATACACTTTTTAAGGGGGATATTGGTAGTTTAGTAAGAAAACATCTAGATTGAAAAGCCTAGAAATTCTGACCACCAGAAACAGGTAGGGAGACTAGAAACATATGGTCAAAGAAAGTAAGACTAAGAAAAATGTTCAAATTACTTTATAATCTCTGAAGGTTCCAAGTAGTATGATTTACACATGTCAGACAAGTACCACCAGGCCAGCATCCAGGGAGACAGTTTTCAGTCCACAGACAAGAACCATTTTATAACTGAAGCTTCCTAACAATAAAATAGATTATTTCATTGGTTTCTCACTGTGGTGTTTTTTAATGAGATGTCACTTAGAAGTCTCAGGCATTTGGATACCTGTTCCTCAGTTGCTGGCTATTTAGGAATGATTAGAAGTGGCCTTACTGGAGGAAATATGTCACTGCAGAGAGGGCTTTGAAGCTTGAAAGACTCCCACCATTTCAAGTTAGCACTCTTGGCTTCCTGTTTGTGGGTCACAATGTGAGCTGTCAGCTGCTGCCATACCTAGTGCTTGCTGCCCTGCTTCCCCACTAGGATGGTGATGAACACTTGTTTCATCTCCCATGATTCCTTGGAACTATAGTCCCCAAATAAACCCTTCCTTCTATAAGTTGCCTTAGTCGTGTTTTGTTTTGTTTTTGTTTTTTATCACAGCAATAAAAAAGTGACTCACACACCAGTAACTGAGGATCTTCGAGAGGCTGTCTACGTCAGAGATCTCACAAATGAAATTTCTATAAGGGGAAGCCTACAGATGCTAAGCATCTACCATCCTAAGAACAGAAGCAGTGTTTACTTCAGTTAGCCAAAGGGATCGATGCTCATTATCATTTTCCAACGGATATATTCAACAAACATCAAGCAACTAACATCAAATGACTGCCTTGCCCTTTATTAGGTAAGCCAAATAAAATATACCTGCTATTCCATGCTGAGGCCTGGTGGTCTAATTGAAGATGACCTAACTCACATAGAGTAAGTGTCATAAGCAGAGCCCATGTCCTGTTCAGAGTTTCTCCCACAAAACTCATTTGCTAGAACTGCAATGAATGCAGTCAATACTAGGAAACATTACAGAGAATCTAGGATCTAGGAACATAAAGTCCTTGGATGGTATGGGTTAACACCTGTAGAATCTGAATATGGATTGGAATGAGGAAGCATTAAAATGGATGAGGGATTTTTAAGGCAAATTCCCAGTGTAGGAATTTTAATCTACTAATATAATAATATTCAAAACCTGAATTATCCCTGCCTTCAAAGACACTCTGAAATGGTGATTGACTTGACCTGAAAACTCTAACCACATTGGAAATGTAACAATTCTATCCATTTACCTCCTAAAATTTTTTATTCATTTATTAACTATCTTATGAAATATATTCTTGGGGAGAATAAATCAAAACGGACAAAAAGTAGACCCCTTCTAAGCTTCTGTTTTACAGAGGAAACCTAAATGGGCTAATTTCAACAGAAGCTAATCTCATTCTTGCCTCTGTGGAGATTCCATTCGATCCAATCCTAAGCACAACGGTGCTTCTGCAAGTCAGTTGGTTTAACTGAAACCAATACATCCATAGCAGAATGCTGCGTGTTTAAGCACTATTACATCCTAAAAATAAAATCCTCCAAATCCATGATAGTGCTTAAAATCAACATGTTTACATAATAAAGATGCTGGCAGCAGAAATAAAGCATTGAGCACAAGAGGCAGAAACTCTGATAACCAACTGTGGTTTTGAAAAAGGAAAAGTCTGAAAACCTTATTTTAAAAATCACAGCATGTGGTTTTAAAATAGTATGTGAGCATAGACAACCTGAGATAGGAGTCTGTGACCAGGACATAGACAACATACAGACCCAGGACATACCGCAGCCCGTGACATACCACAGTCTGAAGGCATCGGTGCTGCAGAAATAGAGAAGATAACAGATGTGTCAGAGCCTGTGAATAAGAATGGGTATCTTCCAATCAGAGAGCTTCCTTCCAATGGAATATCCGGGAGGTCCTCTATGGTCATCTTCTAGAAAACCACCTGTAACGGGGAAAGTGAAAATCAGAATGCATTTCTACTTCACTAGTGTGCAGCTTAGATGACTGCCTTCAGTCACAAAAATCCTGACAGACTCCTATAACCTGACATTTCAATGTCTAAGCAGAGCTATTTAAAAACCATGTATCACTTCCCACACCCCTGCGCCATCAGCGGCCCATGTACTGGCACAACGCAAAGCTAGGGAAACATAAATTATAATAGGTTTTTTAAATTAACGTCATGCTAAGAGATGAAAACCGTCTTACAAGGCTGAGCTAATCCAAATGAGCAGAATTAAGGAAGGGCACAGTGACCCCATAGCCTGACCTTAGCTAACTCTCAGAACACAACACGGGTCCCACAGTGACCCCATAGCCTGACCTTAGTTAACTCTCAGAACCCAACACAGGCCCCACAATCCACCACTGGATTCTAGGCCTCTAGTTGACATGGTGCTATTATTTTATGATATCCTAGAAAACATAATTGAAAATTAATCACTTCACTTTCACAAATGTAAGAGATGACTAAGACCATTCCACTTGGGGTCTCTTTACTTCATCTTTGACAAGAAGAAGTCTGTGACCTTAAAAGGTATCAACTCAAAATAGCCTTCTCCATTTGTTCTAAATTAGACCTGTTTTATACCCAGCCTATATCTCAGAAACAATGTAGAAAGCAGAGAAAATGCTAAGTGAAGCTCAACTATAGAGCTAAAAGCTTAGCTTTTTTTATTCTGTTCTGAAATATTATGAATCATGTTTACTTTTAGATATACACAAGATCAAATGATTTTAGATTATATTCAATACAGTAAAAAAAACAAAAGTTAACTAGTAGCTTAATCTAGTAGGAAATATACTATAGTATGATTTTGCATGTGCTTTCTATCATTTGCATAATGAACATATGCTGGCTAGTTTTAAGTCAACTTGGAAAAAAAATAGTCCTTTTTGAATAGGAAAGACACTCAATGGAAAAAAGGCCTCTACTAGACCGGCCCATAGGGAAGCCTGTGATGCATTTTCTTGATTGATGAATGATGGGAGGGCCCAGCTCATGGTGGACAGCCCATCCCTGGGCTGATGAGCCTGGGTTCTATAAGAAAGCAGGCTGAGCAAGCCATGAAGAGCAAGCCAGTAAGCAGCATACTTCACACTTCTCCATCAGCTCCTGCCTCCAGGTTCCTGTCTGATGTCCATGAATGATGGGCTTACAAACTACAAGATGAAATAACCCTTTCTTTGCCAAGTTGTTTTTGATCATGATGTTTTATCACAGCAACAGAAACCCTAACTAAGACACATCTTAACTAACTGGATCACCTTCCCCAGCCCACTCAGCTCCAGGGAAACAGTCACTTAGAACTAACTGGTTTCCTTCCCACTTAACTCAGACCGTTTTCCTCTGGGAGCAGGAGCCAGCAGGAACAGTTCACTTTCTTATGGCTTAAAGACTATGCATTTGTTTGCACAGGAATGTTATGCATTAAACAAACTAGCCTGGTTCTTACTATATTAAAGGACTACCAAGTTGGGGGTGGGGGGGACAGGGAGGGAGAGCTAGCACTGAAATTACTTCCTACTCAATACTTGGAATCTTTTGACATTAACCTTGCCACATAAACAGGAACAACAAAAGATTAGAGTTAAACAGCAGTGCTGATCTTCATTATCAAGGCCCAACAGAAGATACCACTATGACAGCCTCTTTCTGCATATCACACTTCTCCCCATTTATGGTTTCTACTTGCAGACCCGTTTGCCTGGAAATAAATCTGGGTAAATATTTTCCACAGTAAGTAGGACACTCTCTTTAGAGCCAAAACCAAAGCAAAACTTAGTAAATCTCCATTATGGCTACCATACAAAAGACCCTGTTCCAGATGCTTCACGGATTACAAAAACAAGTGACTGATGGGCTGTGGGTGTTGGGTAGTTTATATTTTTAAAAAGAAATACCATTGATGAGCACAGGTTTTGAAATGGAAGATGTACTCCCACCAGGAAACTCTGCCATGGGAGCTTCAAAGAATCAGAGCATATCCTAAGCTGAGCCTCAGAAGAAACAAACAAACAAAAAACAAAAACAGATGGTCTGCTGTAGGGTATATAGCTGGAAGAACAGGCAGATGAAAGGCTAATTGTTTGGGGTTTACAGTGGTTTTTGGTTGGTTGGTTGGTTGGTTGGTTGGTTGATTGCCTGATTTTCTGTTTGGTTGGTTGGTTGGCTGGTTTTGTTTGGTTGTTTGGTTGGCTGGTTGGTTTGTTTTTTGTTTGGTTGTTTGGTTGGTTAGTTGGTTGGTTATGTGGTAGGTTGGTTGTTTGGTTGGTTGGTTGGGTTTTTTTGTCTGGTTGATTGGTTGGTTGTTTTTTTTTTTGGTTGGTTGGTTGATTGGTTGGTTAGGTTTTTTTGTTTGGTTGATTGGTTGGTTGGTGGTTTTGGTTCGTTGGTTGGTTGGTTGGTTGGTTGGTTTTTGTTTTGTTTTGTTTTGTTTTTTTGTTTGAGGGTTTTTTTGAAGGGGAGGTAGTTACTCTCTTTCTCAACTGACAAAGCAAATAAACAAAACCATTCGATTCCATAAGCACCAGGGAACTGACACATCAAGAGACAAGCATGCTTCGAGTAGTGTTTTGGGAATACTACTTCACTGTAACCACACTTCTGGGACTCAGACATGTTTTCTACATGCTTAATTTGTCAGCAAAGTGATGAAACATAATTGCTTGCTGTGATCCCAAGAGTACCCTTCATTCCTTGCAGATTGTCAAGACCCTTAAAGATTAGAACTTCGTCTGGGACTGGGGAAAGAGCACAGGAGGTAAACCTGAGCAAGTGTCAAGAGAGTTCTGACACTACTCACACACACACAACCCTCATAACCCACATTAAAACAGGGTGGACAACAGTGAGTCCCCCGTAATAACAACGCTCGGGAGGTAAAAACACAAATTCTCCAAGCCAGGCTGGTTTCCTAGACCAGACAAATCAAAATCTCTGGGTTCAGCAAGGGAACCCCTCGGTGAGTTGCCTTGGTAAATAGAGTAGAAAAGTACAGAGGAAGACAGCTGACATCAACCTCTGGCCTAGACATGCACGTGTGGACATGCACACACATAATAATAACAGAACTACATCTTACACAACTGGCAACTACCACAAGAACAAAACTAGCATCTTGTACACACCTAATAAACATTGAAATTCCAGATCCAGAGTAGAGAGATAACCCACATAAGACACGGAATCCACTTCACGGCACGTCAAGGCCAGAGACACTACGGTATCCTGTGACCTGCTTGAGGAACATTCCTTGTAGTTTTGCATCTTCCTGGTCCCATTTCTTTACCGTATTGGAAGGAAAAAAGAAAACCTCTTTCATTTCACCACAAATACACACTACACAAGCTTTCACATACTCCGAGAAGGCTTCCCAGAAACAACGTCTAGGTCTAAAGGGCTATGGCACCTGGAGCCTTGATCAAGTTTACAGATATTCTGACCTGAGTTGAGTAGGTATTTTTTCTGAAGTCTCTGAAGGCTAACTGGTGAGAGCTGTTTTGAGAGAAGCCATCCCTGATTAACTGGGTACAACCACTTCTACTAGTTTCTTCTACTAGTTTAGTTGGGAACTAAATTCTCCAAACTTTCAGGCACATCGGAATCCTATCTTATTCCATCTAACTCAAACCACTTCTAAGTAAAAGCATATGGTCATGTCTCCAACAACTCATGCTTTTCCTGATCCTGCTTTGACAATGAGAAACGACAACCAGCTTCTGCAGAGAGGTGTGGGCGTGTAGGGCCTCTACAGAGAACCAACTGAAGCAAAGAAATCATTTATTTCTGTGATGCTGGAGATTGATCCCAAAGCCTCACACATATCAGGCAAGCGCTCTACCACTGAGCTACACCCCAGCCTTTCCCTCCAATGTGCTTGAGATATGTCTCAAGAGCTGCATACTGGAATTTCTTGACTAACAAGGAGACCCAAGCTGTCTCCACATTCATAAGAATCACAGTCATTTCATGCAGTTTTCCATAGCAGTGGGTTGTGCTGTTTATTTTCATAAAATTCAAAAATATGACTAAGTAGTTATATTTTACAAACACAACTTCAATGATCCTTCTATTTGCTACCTGTAAAACATCTGTTCACTCACCACATATATGCTGCAAGTATGTGAGCCTTTATTTTCATGAGATTTAAAACAAACCTAAGCAAATAAGCATGTAAAAGCATGGACCTAGAGACCCTTTTATTTGTTACAAACAAATTACTAGAAAAGCAGCCTTGAGTCCTACATGGAATATCAGACACCTGCCCTCAAGGAGTTCCATCAAGAATCCAATAAACATTGTTTCTCATCAAGTCCTAAGCTGTGCATTCCAAAGATAAGAGTTATGCACTTGCCCTCCTGTAGATACTAGCCCAGGGCTAGGTTGCTACCAGAAAGAAAAAATTGTATCCAAATATCGTACAATTAGTATTCTGACTGACAAGAGCTCAGTGCAATGCAGACAATGAGATAAGACAGTGTAGGATTTCTGGGCCCTAATAATTAGGGGCTGGATGAGCACCTAGGATATGTGGCTAGCTACATGTAGCTTTTAAATTTTCACTTGGTCTAGCTCAGAGTTTCTTAAAACTGTGTGCTGGAGAGGGGGTGTCACACAAGTAATGGAGTGTCACACACACACACAAAAATGGCAATCTGAAATAATTCAGGTTTCCAAATGCACAGTCACCTAAAAAATAACACAAAGTCAAATACATTCTGTATCTGAGGTGTTTCCGACAGTGCTTACAGAGTTACCGTGTGACCTCCCTGCAGCCTTGATTCTGAACACAGTGTTCACTGCACATGTGGACATGCCATTTGGTGCCATCTGACACTGTCTGAATTAGCTACACCCAGATGCAAGACCAGGTGTGTGTCATGGGTTGCAGTGTTTCTACAAAGTATTCTGCTCTTACAGAAACGTAATGCTTTAATTACAGAAAACAAAGACTTTTAATAAGTTCCCATTGTCGTTCCTCAGCATGTAAGCATCAAATTAGCATATTTTAGAATTAGATTTTGTTCCAATGTTGATTTCACTAATTGCTGTTTGTGTTCTAAATTTTAAAAAGGAAAAAAAAAAGACAAAATCACTAGCTGGGCACATACCTTTAGTCTCAGTACTTGGAAGACAGAGGCAAGCGGATCTCAATGTGATCAAAGTTAGCCTGGTCTACGTACTAAGTTCCAGGACAGCCAGAGCTACACAGTGAGACTTTGTCTATTAAATAAATAAATAACTTTTTGAAAAATTAAAAATTCATTGACACTAAAGAGATGGCTCAGCAGTTAGGCACACTGCCTACCAGGTTGGGTTCCCACCACCCACATGGCAACTCCAGTTCCAGGGGATCCAACACCCTCGTCTAGACTCAGCAAGGACCAGGCGCACACATACATGCAAGCAAAACACTCGTGCATGTAAATTAAAAGTAAATTTTTTTAAACTCATAAACTAATACTGATTTGGATTAGAACAAAATTTCCAACTACTTCTAAAGGGATCCTAAATACACATGTATTTATTTGTGTATATTTATAATATTTTCTATTAATATTCACATAAAACAGCACTGTCAGCACTATAGATCAGTTGTACAAAATGTTGAAGATGTTCCATAGCCTAGAGTCGCAAATGTTTGTCCAACTGACATATAAAAATGGACGACGAGCAAGTCAGCTCTTCAGCATGCAGATTTGTTTTCATCTTTAAATTGCAAAATCATATGTATACCTTTGTTCCAAGATAGATATATGATTTATTGTCAATAAATGTATGCCTATTTTATATACCTGGAACTGTGTAACATGTTCTGTTTTAGCTCTATCTGAATGTTCAAAGGATCAATCTGCACGTGGCTAACCAGAAGGACATTTCACCTATGGACATTTCCCTGACCAGTGCTGGAGGAAACAGTCCAGCTCACTCTTCAGAGAACAAACAACTTACAGATGCCTGAAATGAGAAAGTCTGATGTGCCAAGCAAGCTTGCAGCAGCATAATTATAAATAATTAAGAGAACAGTCAGACTAAAAGCAACCAGATGCTTAAAGGGTTTTAGCAGAGACACAGTGAAGTTGATTCTGTCAGCTCAAGTTCACAAATATATACTTCAAACCTTCGACTGTTATAAGAAAAATGATACCACTATAATCATCGCTTTTTTTAAAGGCCTCGCTGTTGGGATTGTATCTGAGAAATAGGAGAGTGGAAATAAATCCAAGGAACAGTACACTGCGTACTAAATCGACAAAAGAGATATAAACACTTTGGTTGTGTCAAGAGTCAACTTTTGAGACTGAACAGTAGCTAACAAATGAAAGCATTGCCAAAAAATGCATCATATTTCTGTTAAAGGAAACCAGGATTGTTTCGCATCGACAAAACGTAAAGCTGGAACCGGCCATTTCCAAGTCTATGCTTTCACTCCAGTCTCTTCGTCCTACGCCACCTGCTCTTCTACCACATAGTCAACTTAAACTGTGCAGCTGACTCACTGACAGAGGTCAAAGCAAGAGTCAACTGCAACCAAGTATTTGATGAATGTCTCCACTGAGGAACCCACTTAAGGAGAATTTCAAACGCACTGTTTTCACCCTAAGCTAGTGCTACAATGTACCCACAGTGTAGCCTGGAGCCGACACCAAGTTCCTATCCCACCACAGTAACATTCTGATACACCTCAAAACATTGTCTCAGAGCTGACTTGGAATCCCAAAGGCCTACCCAGACTCTGGATGAAGTGAACCACCTCACACACACAGCTAAGAACCGGTTCATCCAATCCTTGCGGTTCTGCACGGGACAGGTCTCACCCAGCTCACGCCCTCCTGCAACTTCTCAAAGCGAATTAGTATGAAGGCATCTCAGAGCAGCAAGGGGAGGCGAAGGCAGTTCAGTTTTGAGCACGCGTGGCCACGGGGTTCTTAATGATCTAAGTCAGAATGGGATGCGAGTGAGAACCTGAAGAGGCCGGCGTGTGGAAACCCACCAGGGTGCACACTCCCCCGCGCGTGGGAGATACTCCGGGCATCCGGGAAACGTGGGCCTCAGCCGGGCACCCATCTCAGCCGGAGAGCAAATGACACAAGCACCCACTTCCCCGCCCGTCCAGCCAGGTCCCGGGAGGCCTCCGGGGACCTCGGTGCGGCCCGCACCGCCACCCGCCTTGCGGCCCAGCCTCCCGGCCTCCCGGTCCCGCCGCCCCCAGGGTCCCGCCACCTGCCTGCTCCGGGTCCCTGCGGAGCGCCGGCTGCGGACGCGGGGCGCAGAGGCAAGGCGCAGGGACGCGCTCCCGCCCTCCCTCAGGGGTTCCGTGGCCGCCGCGGAGCCTCCAGCAGGGCAGCAGCAACTCGCCGCCTTCCACGCCGCGCGCGCCGGAACCGGGCCCCCACGCGGGTCGGCGCGCGCGCAGTGCAGCCACCCGGGTTGCGCGCAGGCCTCGGCCCTCGGCCCCGCGCACGCGCCTGCGCTTTCTCGCCTCCCGCTTGCGCCCCTGTGCCCCTCGACAGGAGGAAGGTCTGCGGCTGCTGCACCTGCTGTCCCCAAGCTCAAGGTGTCTGGTGGCCTTTCCCGGGGCCCCTGCCGTGCCCGTGCACAAGTGGGGATCTGTCCAGCGCAGCACAATCAGGCTCTAAAGGAACCGTGGCTAGCCAGGACAGTGATTGGGGCTGCAGCCGGCATTCCCTCCTCTTGCATGGTCTTAGTTGGCCCTGTTTGGCCACCCCTTGCTTCATAGCATTCTGGGCTGGAAGAGCTCCCCCCTACAGTATCTGGTAGGCAGAGGCCACATCTTACCTTTTTAAAGAGTGTGACCATGCATGGCTTAGGGTAAGATCCATCAGTCAATTATCAGTTTCCAGGTCCTGCTGTGAAAACCCTTCTCAATACCCAGCTGAGCAATTAAAAAGGAAGTGTGCCAGCCAAGGGAAGAAATGAATAGTCACAGCCCGCACTTCTGGTCGTTAGTGTCTGTTCCCTCCTTGCTTACCTTCTACTTCCCATCTCATGTCTTCCCATAACCAGAAAGAAGTGAATCTGACCCTAGCAGATGTGGGTGCTGACATTGTAGTTCTTTCCCACGCTGCAGAAAGGCGTGGATCTTAAATGGAGACCAAAAGTGATCGACAAGTTTGTAAACTTGAGTTAAGAGTGTCACACCACAGCCATGCTCTGGGGTACCTCACAAACTATTATCTTGTTGGTGTTCCTTCCCTATCGTGTGGTAACTAACTTGTTGAGAGAACGTGTGAATGGATGTCCATCAGTGTTCCTGCCAGCCCCGAGGTAAGTGCACACCACACCCCAAAGCACCTTTTTCCAGTTAGAACTATTGCCTCTAGAGGCTAGGAAAACAAATACAAAGACTTTCTCATTGCTTGAGTCCTCACAACGTACTCCCACCAAGTGCCTCTAGCTGGACACTCCTAAGAAGGGACTCGCTAACTCTTAAGGTAGCTTAGACTGGCCTTTTGCAAAGCATCCTTCCTTGGGAGCCAACAATCCAGGGTTGTTTCTGCCATGGGAACTCAAAGAATCTAAGTTCAGTTCAAGATAGACCAATGAGCATTCTCTGTCTCCCAGGCTGCTCATCTATGGCATGGTTGCAACCCTACTCACCAGCTTGTTGAAGGACTCCTCAGGGTACATCCTGGCTTGTCTTTAGACCTCTTAAATGTGATGCTCAGAATGGAACAGTGACCTGGTGAGTGCCGAGGAGAGCCTACGACCTCTGCCTACCTCTTGAGCTTCTACTAACACAACCCAAGATAGCAAAGGAGTTGTTTGAGGCGGTGCGACCACAATGGAGAATTGGTGGGGCACGGGGCCAACTAAAACTCAGGGTGCTTATGCAGTATTAAATTCCACCATCCCACACCCCTGGGCAGCTGCCAGGTTCTCTCCCCACAGACTCTGTCTTCATGCACTCTTGAGGATGCTAATGTAACATAGATACTTATCCCTCCCTTGGAAGCTCCACCCCCCTTTCCCTGTTTTTATCACACCCAATTCTTGCCTAACCCACCCACCTCCTCAGCTGGCTAAAAGAGAAAGCAATTTGCCTTTAGTTGGCTCTAAGTGCCTTTAAATGAATCCTGTTGCCATTGAAAGACAGAAACTCATACGGATCTGTTGTAACAGGAGCTGCTGGTGACATTTCCGAGTTACACAGTTTACTTTTATTGCTTTTTTTAAAAAGTATCTGCCAAGATACCACTCTTAGTAGGTGATGGGGTGTGGCAAGCTGAGTGGAACTAAGCTATAATGAAGATCTCTGTTAGAACCAGCCAGACTACTGGATCTTCCTGCTACACCCAACACTCACAGTACACAGGCAAATTCCAAGAACAACAAGTCACCAGGGAGAGTCTGCCACTCAGTTGCCTTGACTCCAAAGCCTGAAACTACTCCTCAGCCATCAGGAACACAGGCCCTTATTGCCCTGTTGTCCTTATTGCTGTACTCTTCCCTGTCACACGCGCACACACACACACATGCACACACATCACACAAATTTTGCAGCTAGGTCTTCCAATTAATAACAAGGAAAAGAGACAATTATATGAAGTCAAAATTTGGAGCTAGAACTAGCCATTGGAACGGCAAGACAATATGATCCATCACAGGTGCCGAGCAGAATGTCACAATGAAACAAAGTGCCAAGAGGGGACAGCATCCATCAGTAGTCAGGACCACAGAGAAAAGAAGAAGCGTGACCAACTGTCCACTAAACAGAACACTACCCGTAATAAAATTTGTCTTCACCACAAATTAAGTGGAACAGAAGATTTACACTAAGTATGATCTGAAAGTCTCTCAAGACATTGTTTGCCATGGCCTACATAAAATATCCTCGTAGCCATTAGGGGGGGGCCCAGAGATGCCTGAATGATGAGCAGGGATCACTCAGAAATTCAGACATTGTTCTTCCTCGCTGCATGCATTGGACAGGGTATCATTCAGAGAGAAGGAGAGATTCACTTCCCCAAAGTGAGTACATGAAATACAGTCTTCTGGGAGAGCCAGGTGGGTGGGAACCAGCAGGGATGCTTATAGCACTTAGCAGAACTCGCAAAGTCTTCCTCTTTACTATATTCACAGGCAACGGGACTCTGCCTGGAACACCCAAAAGAAATCAGCACATTGTTAGAAGGAATTAGTTCAGCAAGGCTGCCAAATACAAGATCAGTTTATAAACTCCAGTAGTCTACATCAGCAGCAAATAAGCAGGAAGGAGACAGGGAGACACTTCATATCACATCTGGGGATTAACTTAACAACTTTGTAGAACTTTATGGAGAAGCTTTTAAAACTCTATTGAAGGACATAAAAAAAGACTGAACAGATGAAGAAATATGCCATGGACAGGGTGGCTTTGCACTGTAAAAATGTCAAGCTGATCACTAGACTCAATGTTTTGTTATAACTAAAATTTTAAGGTGCTCAATAAATATAAAATATGTTAGGACAAATATAACTTTAAATAGGGCGAATTTCCAAACGCAAAAACAAAAGGAGGAGACTTGCTATACTAGAGATTATGTCTTTACTATATCATAATACAAATAACTGGATGCTGCTCTAGGAATAAACAGAAAAATTACCTAGAATGTAGGACTCTGAAGAAGAGCCCTGGATAAGCAAGTCCTTGGTATACATAAAAGTGGAACCACAAGCCAATGGTTTAAGAAAAAATGAATTATTTATAGGACAGTGTTGGTGAAACAGGCTTATTTAATAATGAAAACAAAAAAATCATGTGCTAAGTACAAAGAGCAAGTCTGTGGAACATACAAAGGGGAAAGAAGGTGTAGGAGATGCCATGGATCTGCTGCAAGAATGTATTCCCAATACACAACTAAAGCACTGGGCATGGCTCTCAGGGGCACAAGTGGGCCTGACATGCTGGAGGGCCTGGGGTGAGTGCCAGAGATGGTGGAGGAAATACCATAGAACAACTTAATCTGTTCCTATCAGGAACTAGAACTAACAAAGAACCAGACAAATTTGTAAGTCCTTACAAAATTCTTCCACTGAGTGGCCCTAGTTGAACACCTCCAATAAAAAGAAGTAGAGAGACAGCTCAGCAGTTAAGAGTGCAAGTGTGCTTTTGCAGAGGACCCGAGTTTGGACCCTGCACCCACAAAAGACCAGATTACAGCTGCCTTTAACGCTAGCTCCATCAGAGCCAATGCCCTCTTCTGGCCATGGTAGGTACTGCACCATGCATATACCCAAATGCAGATACACACTTAAAGATACTTTTTTAAAAAGAAAAATGTAAAGATATGATAAATTGAAAGAAGCTATGTGAAATGTATGAGCATAGCTAAGAATTAGTATCTAAAACAACAAAAATCAGTCAAAAACTAATGGAAAACTGAGAAAAGGGTAACAGTAGACAGTTTATGGGGGATGTGTCTTCGTTTCCTTCCCTGTTGCTGTGATAAAATACTTTGACAAACACAACTTAAGAGGGAAAGGAGTGAATTTAGCTCACAATTCAAAGATTAGTCCATCATCCCAGGGAAATCAAGGCATCAGAGCTTGAAGCAGCTGGCCACATCACATCCACAGTCAGGGAGCAGAGATGAATGCTAGAACTCAGCTCACTTTCTCTATTTCAGAATCTACTGCCTGGAGAATGGCTCTGCCCACAGTCAGGTGGGTTCTCCCACATCGGTTAACATAATCAAGGTAGGCATGCCCTGTAGGCATCCTGTAGGCATGCCCAGAGGCCTAGCCAAGCAAGTGTAGATGCTATCAGATAGAAAATTAACACAGTGTGCTGGCTACTTTTATGTCAACCTGACACATGTTAGGATCATCAAGGAGGAGGGAACTCAGCTGAGACAATGTCTCCCTAAGGACATAGGCTTATTGGGCTGTAGGCAAGCCTGAAGAGCATTTTCTTAAGTTGATGATTTATGTGGGAGGGGACCAAACCATCCTTGTCAGTTCTCCCTCCACCACCACCCCCGCCCGACTGGTGGTACTCGGCTCTATAAAGGAGGCTGAGCAAATGAGGAGGAGCAAACCAGTAAGCAGCACCCCTCCATGGCCTCTTCATCAGTTCCTGCCTCCTGGTTCCTGCCCGGCTTGAGTTTCTACCCTCATTATTTTTGATGATCAACTGTGATATGGAAGTGTGAGTGAGATTAACCCTTTCCTCCCCAAGCTACTTTTCATCCTGGTGTCATCACAACAACAATAACCCCAAGAAACACAGACTCTCCAGTCTGTGCAAAGGAAAGCCCAGAATGGTAAGCAAGCAGTGAGATGGGCAAGAAATAAAAACAAAATGTCCAGGAACTGGGTGGACTTAGAATGTACAATATTAAGCAAAGTCATCCTGTCTCAGAAAAAAAAAAAAAAACCACATGTTCTCTCTCACATGTGGGTTCTAGCCTACAATGTATGCATGTATGTGTGTAAACAAATGTACTGTGGCCATAGTACATGTAAAAAGAAGGGTGCCCAGGAAAGGGTAATATCAGGCCATGAAGAAGGACTGAATGCAATCGTGAAAGATGATATAAATCTAATTGTTTTTCTAGTTTTAACTCTTGTGTTTCCTCAATGTGTGTGTGTGTGTGTGTGTGTGTGTGTGTGTGTGTGTGTGCCTGTGTTGGATTCATGCACAAAAATATGATTGAAGGTTAAAGTATAAAAGTGATGTGTATAGATGGGCTTTTCCCTGTCAGAGGCAAAAAGAGGCAAAGATAATCCCAAGTGTTGGCAAGGATATGGAAACGTCCTGCACTACTGACGAGTGTTTAATGTAATGCTACATTCTATAGCATAGTCAAGCAGAGATACTTTGTGGCTCAGCGAGCACC